CAGAGTAGAACTTACCACTCTACGAAGCCAGCATTTCCCAGCATAAGAGAAGCTTTGTTGATGTTTGGAGAAATTACTGCTTCCATTTGGCTCTTTAGACAGGATAATGGACTTTCAGAGCCCCAAAGAGAGGAAGTAGGTGCTGGCTAGTGCACACTTAAGTCCCAGGGCTCTAGGTCAGCTCTATGTAGTACTTTATAGGTGTGGTCCTACTATTCTGTAAATGTGTGTTGAGGGGTCTCACACTGATACGGAGGAGTTTGAATCCACTGGCAAAGACCAAAGAATTAGACTCAATTCATAGTTAGATTAAATGAATTTATTATTAAGATAAATTAAGAAGAACGGCAGCATTAGAGCCAAACCAGGAGTTTGCCATGCCAAAAGGAGCTAAAGGAAGTGTTTATAAAGGTGGGCATCGCAATCACCTCATGCTCTGTGGTGTCCAGAGCTGGGTGAGAAAATTGCTTTATGCCCCTCAGTTGCTTCTTGTCTCCATTATGCAGCAATAAAGATACCATTCCATCCTGTCCCACAGCAATAAATGGGTTTATGAAAGCCAGAGGAAGCAGTTAATTAGTTAAGCAGTTAATGGTGTCACAGCAGTAACACCATTTTCAGGCCCCTAGGATCTCACAGGCATTTCAGGACAAAGATCAATGCTATATAAGGGGTGCCTGGTACCTGCTTAAGTTTTTTAGCCATCACAGGGAAGTCATATATAAATTGTCACACAAACTAGACCACCCAGGGAAAACAGAAAGAAGTGTCATTAATGACTGGGATAGAGTGGTTTCTTCCAGGGCAAGCAATGGCAATGTCAAGTTAGGGCTGGCTGTCACAGTCCCATGGCACTAAGCATTGTCTAAAAGAATCATAGACACAGCTACAGTTGTGTGATCTCCCTCCATGTTTTTGAGACAGGATCTTGTGTAGTTCAGGCTGGCTCAAACTCACTAGATAGCTGAGGCTGACCTTTACTGATCTTCTTGCCTCTTCTTCCCTTTGTGTTATAAATTATAGGTATGTGCTACCAAACCCTGCACAGAATTCCACATGGTTCCTGGGATGTTGCTGTTGGTTGGTTGGTTTTTGTTTGTTTGTATTGTTTAAATGAAGCATTGATGGTTAAACTAAGTTCATGTCAGGCAAGCACTCCATCATGAGGCTACCTCCCAAGCCCAGTGATTCAGGGAAGACAGCAGAGGAGTGAACAGTTACTACGGTTCAAGTGTGCCAAGTGGTACAAAAAAAAAAAAAAAAAAAAATCTGTGGAGGGCTAGACAGTGGGTCCCACAGAGACTCTGAGCTGAATGTCTTTTCCACACTCTGCCTCCAGTTCCTGTCCTTGCAGCTTTGCAGCTCTGGTTGCTGGGAGCAACTGGGAGCTGCAAGCTGCAGCCAAGGCCCTTGCTCTTTCACCTTCTTGTCTGCTGTGCTTCAGAGGAGTGGAAGGAATGCTTCCTCACAAAGTGCAGGGGCCCCTTCTGGGATGTCCTCAGATTGAGAACTCCAACTCTAGGGATGGATGACTTGGAGTCTGAAGTCACCAGCGATGCTGTGTTACTTTATTTTTATAGTGTTTACTGTGATGCCCCCATTACAAACTTAGACCCATTAGGGAGGAAAGCTAGATAGTGCAGACAAATACACAAATCACTGCTCAGTGCTTTTGCTTCTGGCATCTCTGTTTGAGTACCCGTTTCCCCATCCTCTCCTCACACTGTCATGCTTCTCCCTGGGCCTAGTGCGTTTGTGTATCCTGGAGGCATGCATGTTCTGGGCTGCAGTCCACTATACAGGCAGAACTACTGTCCGAGTGGGTGGGGCCGCCACCTCCATTCATCTTGCCCTAGTCAAAACATGGGTGTTAGGCCTCCTGCATGGTGCTGTGGGAGGAATATGAAGCGGACATGACCTTTTGCATTTTTATTTGTTTAAATTTGTTTGATTTGAGACAGGGTCTCACTATGTAGCTAGCCCCAGCTGGCCCAGAACTTGATGTGTAAATTCTGCTGTCCTCAAACTCAGAGACATTTGCCTGCCTCTGCTTGCCTAGTGCTGTGATTAAAGGTTTGCGCCACCATGTCTGGCTCTGGCCAAGATCTTTCTTTTAAAAGCTTTTTAAAAACTAAGCAGATGTGGTAGCACATGCCTGTAATTCCAGTATACTGAGGCAAGAGGATCACAGGTTTGAGGCCTTTTCTGGACTAAAGAGCAAGACAGTCTCAGATAAACTTAAACAATAAACTTAAACAATAAACTTCTTCCATCTCCTAACTACAGACAGTTCTGCACTTCTGAGGGAGGAAGATGTTTGTGGTTCTTAGTTGTGCTGTATCTCGAGGACACTTGGGAACATATTTTAAAAGAGCAAAACCTGCCAGGCATGGCGATTCACATCCCTAATCTTGTCTTTTAGGAGGCTGAGACAGGAGAAGTGCAGAGAGTTGCAGGATAGCCTAGGCTACAGCTGCAAGACCTTGTCTCTAAAAACAGATAAAACAAGGCCAAAAACAAATTTTAAAGCAAAAAAAAAAAAAAAAAGCTTTTTAAAGATACATAGTTACCATCCAAGATGGTGGCCAACCATTCAGTTCCTGAAAATTCTTGAGTTGTGAAGTATGGATCATAGCTTTCTAACCCCTGCCCCATCTGTCTCTCTTTGTCTGTCTGTTTCTCTCTCTCTCTCTCTCTCTCTCTCTCTCTCTCTCTCTCACATGCACACACAGGTACACACAAGAGGCATGTACACAGAGACACAAAAAATTGAAACTAAACTAAATGTATAACAAAGTAACAGAGCAAAAAATTAAAAAAAAAAATAACCTTCCTGGGGTTAAAGAAATAAAAGGAAACCAGCTCTGATACATGCCTTTAATCCCATCACTCCTAAGGCAGAGGAAGGTGGAACTCTATAGAGGCAGGTCTGGTGTAGATAGTGATTTCCAGGACTATGTATAGAGACCCCATTTCAACTAAAAAAATAATAGAAAAAAATAAATGTAAACACAAATATAATTAACTTGGAGTAAAACAAACATATATATATATATATATATATATACACACACACACACACATATTTGTGTGTATATTTGTATGTATATATTTGCTCACAGGGGTCAGAAGAGGCATCAGATCCCTTGCAGCTAGAGTTATAGGTATATAGGCTTTTGTGAGTGATCTGTGTGCCAGGACCTGAACATAATTACTGAGCCAGCCTCCTAGGAATAATATTCTTTTTTTTCACTTGCTTACAGTCTGAAAGAGGAGTAAATGCTCAGTTACAAAAGGCTGTATCTCAATAAAACGAACTTGTTGTCATGTATCCTGGGAGGGACCCAGAGAGTGTGGCAAGTCTGAAAGGCAGAGGATCTGTGGCACAGAAGCTGTACCTTCGGTTCACATTGATGCATTTTCCTGTGGTCAGTCAGTATTCATTCATCACCTGTGCTGGGTGAGGTGATAGATGGAGAGTATAAAAGGAAACAGGAGTAGTCCTTCCCCAAGTCAAGTTCACCCAGACCAAGAACAGGTGTTAGTACTACAGAAACAGGTTAAGTGAGATAGAGGAGAGTGTGGGCCAGGGCTTCCTTGAAGAGGTGGTGTTTAAATGGGTTTAGGAGGCATTGATGCCATGAGCCAAGAGCCAAGAATTAAGGTTAAGGGTGTCATGGAGACAGAAAACTAACCCAGCAGGGAGAGGAGCACATAAGAAAGATGGTGGAGGCAGAAAAACTTGTAGAATGTTAGAGAAGCTGAAAGGAGGCCAATGTAGGCAAAGCAACAGGACAGGGAGGAATGCGATGGCTGAAAGTTAACAGTGCAGCAGGGCCTGAAGATGGTGGTTGCTGTTGTGAAGTGTAGAGGCCAAAGCACAATATGCTTCGTAGGATATGTAGAGATGGAGGTGTCACTGCAGTAAAAATAAAGATTTTTACTGAAATCTTTATTATCAATTAAGCAGCAGTTAGAAGCAGAGCATTGCAGCAAAGGAGAAGAGAGTCTCTGCAGGGAACTGAATGGCTAATTCAGTTAGACACTTCTCTCTCAGGCAACTGTTGTGAGGGCCTAGCTTTTTTCACTTTTATTTTTATCATCTCCCCTTTTTTTTGTCCTCCTGTCTAAATGATTCAAACAATATTCACATTTCTCTTCCTTGGGCTCCTGGGCTCACAGATACGGAAGCCAGAGCATGTGCTGGGAGCAGCCAGCCAGCGAACAGAGATGAGGTGGTCTAAAACACCCTCTTCCCAGCAGCCGGCCACAACCAGGGCTGGATGGAATTGGCTTGCGTGGGGGGAGGGCGAAGGATTTATCTTTTAGGCTTTATCTGTTTATTAGGCAGGGTCTCACTTTGTAGCCTTGGCTGATCTGAAGTTCACAGTAATCTGTATGCCAGCACAGAATTCCAGCTAGCCAGGAACATGTCTCAAAAAAATAAAACAGAACAGTGGATCAGAAAACCTATTCTGTTTTGATCCTCACCACCACCTCTCAACGTGAAAACAAACGCAACTTACTGCCTCACATGCAGGTAAGTAGGTAGCTGTGTATGGTGTCACACACCTGTCACCTCAGCACTGAGGAGGAAATTGTGAGGCTCGTTGGTACTACATAGGAAGACTGTCCCCCACAACAACAACAAAAAAAAAAAACAGCAGTAATATATGCAATTTCACAATAGTCTTTTAAGCAACCAAGCATAAACATCCTTCCATGTGAATTCTTTGTACTTTGAAATGGCTGTGTAGTGTTTTGGCATCCTGATACCTAAGCATTTATCTCCATTCCCCATATAGACAGTTAATTCCACACAGTATGTTTTCCTCATTTGATATCTATGGCATCAGTTCCTGAGCATTGGGTCCACTCAAAGGATGCACTCATTTCATGTTAACAGACTCTGCAAAACTTGTTTCCCCAAAGGTTGTTCTAGTTTATAGCCCAGAGTATGTCTGGCTCTAATCTTGTTTTCTTTTCTTCTGGTTTCTTAGACTTTCTACACTGATTAATCAAGAGTGAAAAATCGGAAGAAATGCAAGCAGGAAAAAGAAATTAAACTAAGTGGGTAACTATGGAGTTCATACCTCTGTACCATCCCATCACAAGTTTGCCTACACCTCCTTTCTCTCTCTCTCTCTCTTTCGCCCTCTCACTCTTTCTTTCATTTGTCTCTCCCTCTCCCTCCCTTCCTCCCTCCCTCCCTTTCTTCCTTTTGCTTGAAGAAAGCCAATAGGTTCTAAATGAAGTTCAAGGGGAATTTTAGTCGCCTGAAGAAAAGGCAGGGTGGCTCTTAGCAGTAGTTACATAACATCATGCTGCAGTGCCACAGGCCTGATTTTCATCCAGGCAATTTTTTCATAGTGTTGGAAAGACAGCTTCCTTCCGGTGTTTTAGCAGGTTTTTTCAGCCATGTACCCAAACAGACGGAGTCATACATAGCTGATTAGCAACTTTGGGTGTGACTTCAACTTTTTCTGCACATTTCTGTTATGAAGGAATGTTTACAATAACCAGGCATATTATAGGAATTGTCGTTTTAAGGCTTTGTTAGAGTTACCAACAGAAGCAAAGCCCAGTTTAAAGAAATGGGCACAGCCCAGCAGTCCTTTGAGGAGGGAGGGGGCAGGCACCTTCCATTTGGAGACAAACTGGTTACACAGTGTGAAGAGGCTGCCTAGAAGTGCATTGCCTAGGGTCGTGTCCATGGTTTTTATGACGGCCAGGTGTTCTGGCATGGAGGTGTGGCGGTGCCTGGTCTACACCAGGCAGCAGGGTTGTTCCGCTCGCTGATGCAAGGTCTTACCGTGTTACTCTGGCTGTCCTAGAACTCGTAGAGATCCACCTGCCTCTGCTTCCCAAGTGGTGGGATGAAAGGTGTGGATCAGTATACCACACCTGGCTTTTCACCTAAGACATCTAAAAATCCCATGACACACTGTGCATCGTCAGGTTGGGAGTACGTGGTCCGCAGACATCCGCCCAGCCATGAACTGCCCAAGGCTGTAACTATGAAGGGAGTGAGAAAGGCCACCTGTGCCCAGCTGACCCAGGTCTACCCGGCTCTTTTCCACAACTAGAACTATCAGCAAGATGCTGAGAGCCTGGTGCTGAGCTCATCTCTTTCTGAAGAGCCCATTGGATCTGTTGTGTTTTTGTTTCTCAGCTAGGGATGTGTGAGAAGGATGGTCTTATAGGAACAGCACAGCTGTAATGAAGTTGTTTAGACTCAATCAGGAAATAGTCTTTTATCTCACTTCATCAGCAAGTGTGAGGTGGATGTTGGGTACCACCTCAGAAGTGTCAGACACAGTACTTCTCATCAGGAAGCTTTAGGGGTCTGGCTGCTAGATGAGTGACTGTTGTCTGGCTTAGGTATAGAAGCCAGTGAGAAATGGTCTGCAGAGGGTTGTGCCCAATGGGCTGCAGGCCTCATGGCTTCTGGAGCAGCACAGGGAAGCCCAGAGGCTGGAGGGGCCTGTGTGTCCATGTTCATGGGCTTGTGTAATGCAGAGGAGGAGCCAGGGCTGAAGCTGAGTCTGCAGATGGCTGCAAATGAGTTCAGGCTTTACTGTGATGGTTGAAGCAGAAAGACACTGAATGGTATTCCAGGAGCCATTTGAGTTAGGCTTAGAAAGGTGACCCTTTCGGAAACTGGGTCAGGTTAATTTTCTTACCCTCCCCACCCGCTCTCATTACCTCTCCTCAGGGCCTGTGCTCCTGCTGCCTGTGGACCCTGATGTGGAGAGATGACAGAGTCTGGGACAAATGATCTCCATAGAGGGACTGAGGAGGTGAGGGGTGGGGGTGGAGAGAGTCGTTGAGTGTAAAGCAGGTACAGGTAGCCCTGTACAAGTCCCTTCATACCTGTGAGCACCACTGCCTCTTCTAGTAAAGGATGACAGGCATTACCTTTCTTCTGTTTCCTTCCACTGTGGGTAGTTTACATGCCCAGTTAGGGCCTCTACAGAAACCTCTCTTCCTTGTTTGTCACATATGTATTGTTGAAATCCTCACCAGGATACTGGGGTTTCACTAGCTGTTGTTTGTCTTATGTTAAGGACCTCTCTCTCCCATGATGTCACTTTTAAGGAGTAAGCAAATGCTGACTGAAGACTAGGTGTGTGCTTGGCCATGGCCATAAGAGAAGGTTTTTAGAACTAGTAAGCATCATGCTTTGCTGTATAGCCATGGCTGTCCTGGAATTCTGTAAACTAGGCTGGCCTGAAATTCAGAGATCCGCCTGCCACTGCCTCTTGAGTGCTGGGATTAAAGGCGTGCTACCACTACATCTGAGTTACTTTAAAGCTTCTTAACTTCGTTTAGTTTAGTCTTGTGAAGTACCCAAGTATTACAGATAAGGAAACCAAATTGCCTAGAGGTGACAGTACTTATCTCTGGTGGCACAAGTTGAGGTAGAAGAGCCCCTCTCTGCCCACTGTAGCACTTGCCGTTTCTGTGTATTACTGTAGACATTCAGACATGGCAGAGGCCATGGAGAAACAGAGACACAGCTCCTGCTCTCTCCTGAGCCATAAGTCTTAGCAAGGCCATTGGTGACTAACGCATGATATAGATCTGAGCCCTGGGGCCACTTGTCTGTTCAGTGTTTTTTCTAAGACTTTTTCTCCAGGTGCATCGAGGCCATCTCTCTGCCTTGTGGGCAAGTTCCCTGGCAGCTGGGAGTGTGTCTGCTTAGTTTTCTGGGCATTTTCTTTTGGTCTGTAGCTCAGGTTCTGTTTAATTTCTGATCTTCCTGCATCCTGCTTCCAAGTGCTGGCACTGGTCATATGCTACACATCTGACCTTTTACTTTTTTTTTTAAGACAGGGTTTTATGTTGTCCAGGCTAGCCTTATGATCACAGTCCTCTTGCCTCTACCTCCCAAGGGCTGGAACTACAAGTTTGTGCTACTCCACCCCCCCCCCCCAAGTAAGTTTTTCTAGGGTAACATACAAATGGCTGACAGATGTATGGGAAGATCTTTGTATCTATAATCATTAGGGAAACGCAACTTAAACTGAGTGAGTTAGCCACCTCACATGTGTTAGAAGCACTGTGATAAAAGGTTCTGGGAGATCAAAGAAGCCCTTGTTTGATGTTGGAATGTAAATTAGTGTAGCTGTTATGGAGAACTGGCAAGAGTTTCAAAAAATTAAACATAGCCAGGTCTGGTGGTTGATACCTATAATCTTAACATTCAGGAGACTGAAATGGGAGAATTGCTGTGAGTTTGAAGCCTGCCTGAGCACATAGTGAGACCCTGTCTTAAAAGTAAACTAACACCCCAACTTAATAATAGAACTGTCTTAGGCGATAAAATTAGTCTCCTAAGTAGATATTTGCAGTCCTGTGTTTACTATAGCGTTATGTATGATTCACAGTAGCCAGGATATGGAAGCAACAAGTGTTCAGTGACAGATGAATGGATAAGGAAAATAAAAATATGATATATATGTATGTGTATATCTTATATATATATCTGTATCATATGTATGTGAATATTGCTTAAAGTGGAAGGATAGACTGTCATTTATAAACAAGGATGGGCATGGAAAGCATAATTATCCTGAGTAAAACAAGGCAAGCAGAGGAAAAGAAGTAATACATAATTTCATTTTTATATGGAGTGTAAAGAACTCAGAGAAACAGTAGAAGGTGGTTCTCAGGGCTTGAGGACTAAGGAATGAGATGGTGTTGGCCAAAGGCTGCAAACTTTCAGTTATAAAATGAATGATAAGTCTAATGTACGGCACAATATCTAGAGCTAATAGTAAAGTGTTACATGCTTGACAGTTGCTCAGAGCATAGATCTTAGGTCTTCTCACCACAAAAAAAGTGAGGTGACGGATACATATTAGATAAATGTGGTAACCGTTTAGGCGATTTAGTATATACATGCAAATATATATATGCCCAGAAATACATAAACATCACACTGTATATCATGAATATACATACAGATACGCACACGAAAGTTTTACTTTTGAATTTTACCACTATAATGCTAAAAAAGTTTAAACATCTATCCAGTTCATTGGAAGCCATCATTTAACCCTGTTGAGCTGCTGCATCGTCTAGAATATGGTTTATACTTTAGCGCAGAAATAAGAATGTAGCATGGGCCACATTCTTCCTGGTATCTTACTCGGCAATTCATGTTATTATTTTGTGTTTTACTGAGCAGAACTCTAGGCGTCTAGAAATCGCATCATTTAACCAACAATCAAGAGCCACAAAGTGGTAAAACCAAACCTTTTTTTTTTTTTTTTAAGATCTATGCCTTTTATTTTTCAACTACATAAAGGCTACATCATAGATTTTACCTCACTTTTAAAATTTTATTTATTTATTTAATCACTTTATAGCCTATTGTTTGGCTGTAGGTCTCCTCCTCTGTCTCCATCAGCTGCTGGGTGAAGCTTCTCAGAAGACAGTTATGCTAGGCTCCTGTCTGCAAGCATAGCAGAGAATCATTAATAGTTACAGGGGTTGGCTCTCTCCCATGGGGTGGGTCTCAAGTTGGGCCAGTCATTGACCTGCCATTCCCTCGATCTCTGCTCCATCTTAATCCCTATACTTCTTGTAGGCAGGACAGATTTTGGGTCAAAGGTTTTATGGGTGGGTTGTTGTCCCCCTCCTCCCACTGGAAGTCCCATCTAGTTATAGGAAGTGACCACTTAAGGCTCCTTAACTCCTGGTGAAAGGTGTCTCAGCTAGGGTCATCCCCCATAGATTTCTGGGAGCCTCCCCTATCCAGAGATGCCCCCTCTCCCAGTCCCCCCCTGATCCCCTCATTCCCCTCCCCCCCCTTTTCACCCAGTTCCCTCCCTTCATTTATTTTAGATGTCTATTTCCACTTTTGAGTGAAATTCAAGCATCCTCCCATGGGCCCTCCTTGTTACTTAGATTCTTTGGGACTGTGGATTATAGCACAGTTAACCTGTACTTTATGGCTAATATCCACTTATAAGTGTAATATAAGTGATAATAGTAGCTTTTGCCTTGAACCTCTTGTCTAGGCCAAGTGCTATACACTTAATATTTCTAGTTTTTATTTTAGT